CAAGGGCTGTACTACAAAAGACACAAACACCATTTTCCATTACGCCATAGACCATAAACACTATTAGAAAGGAAAAAAACTGGAGCAACGGAATATGGTCAAATTTTTCAAAATACTGACAATTTACATTGATTGGTAAACGCTAACATGTTATAAACTATTTCTCACAACTTGAATTTCTGCTCATTGTACAGATTGTTAGATTCGGAAGGGGGTTAGAACGAACATTTAAAATTAAAGCGGTTTCTCAAAGTGCAAAGAAAACATGACTAAATATTAAGCTCATGACAGAAAGAGCATAGTAACAGAAAGTAATCTCAAAATATATGACCTACTGACATATTTTCTTCAATGTTTGGTTGCTTTAATCGGCTTCTTGGCAGTTTAAATAACTTCTCTCCTCGGCTGTAATTTCCCGCCTTATCCATTCGCAACATCGTACTCGGCATTATTCTTTACACCTGAGAAACAATTTCTTTCGTTGATTACTTCATTTATCAACCTTGTTTAAATAATACAGTCACTGTTTGCAAATTCTAAAATGCTCTTTTAGAAGTTTAAATTTAAATACCTCGGTTTTGATACTGTCAATCCTTAATATATGACAGCTGATTTATAAATTTTATATATCTCTGTATTCTATCTTGTTTTAACAACAACAACAAAAAAACACACATACATATTCCTCAAAATACAAAATTAAACTATTTTCCGTGATATTTTAACGTTATAAAATAAAACTTCAAAAAGAAAAATAGTATTGTGATTTATGATAAATATTTCTACATTTTGAGGATAATTTATCTTGCCGCAGAAATATCAATATTGCTGGATGCTGCTGAAGATAAACCCGCAACAATATCTCATAAATTAAGAAAAATAATTACTCATATCATTTTGATGTTCATTTCACGTCATCTTTTATGAATATGTAATTAGCCAGGTGGGATGAAAATCATAAAAGTCATCATATAATAACTGCTTATGATTACCTACAGAACGTATATCAAAGTGCCAGGAATTAATTCGGAAGGAAGCTCTGTATTTCTACCAGGATTTAATAATGTTATAAATTAGAAGTTCAATCGTTTGTGTAAAATAGACTTTTTTCATATTACCGACTTTTGACTCTGGAGAATATCATTTTTCGACAGGTTATCTACTCTATGGTTGGACATTCTGGTACTTGGTCAAGTAAGAGCAAGTAAAAGATGTAAAATCGAGCTTATTATCGGTGCAATTTGAGGAAAAATTAACAGTTACTGCTTTAACAATGTTTAAGAGGATTTTGTCATAAAACATAAAACAGTAACATTTCCCCAAAAAATTGGAAACCTGGATTACACTTCTTTGAGTTGCTCTTATTTGACCGAGTACTAGAATTTCCTACCAAAGAATAGGCACCGGTCGAAAAATAATATAATAATATACTTCGGAGTCAAAAGTCGGTAATATGAAAATAATCAATGCACTGAAAGTCATTGTCTTAACCCGAATAATTCAGCCTACATCAAAGAGATCTAGTATGGAGAGGGCCTGAATATTCGACCGTTAAACATTAAAATGTACAGCACATTTGTAAAAAAAAAATGAAAAATTATTGATTCAACAAGTTTATTCCACAAAACCAATTAAATTTCATTTAAACATGATAACAACAATAGTGGTAATAATAATAATGATAATAATTACAATAAATCATCAAAAAAAAGTATTCTGGGATAAATCTAGTCATCATCACCGTGGACTGGTCCTTGGACTAGTACCTTAAACACGTGTCATACGCATATACGTCACTCTGTAAAATGGATTTATGTTTTTATGTGTTCGTGGGAATGTCTTGTTGTATTCCTTAATTCTATGCCATTTATTTCTCTATTCTTTTTTTTTTTATTTATTTTTTTTTTTGGGGGGTGGGGGGACATTATTCTCTATTCTTTGTATATTATATAAGCCGTCTATTACCTTAATTCTATAGGTTGCTCTTCTGTAGATATAGACAATGCAATTTCCCATACGAACACCTTTTACGACTAAAATTGTGACACTTATACTATGAAGTTTCGTAAAAGATGTATCCTAGAATGGAAAGTTCATATGCATTTTACCATTTTTTTTAAAGGTCAAAATATAGGGCTGTGCGGCATATTTTCGACATTTATATCCCTCGAACTTCTAAAAGTTAAACTTACACTAAAATTCTGTACTAGCCCTTCCTTCACTTTGGGTCTTTCTCATAATTCAATTTGGCCACTATCCATGTGTATTTATACTGGTTAAATTTCCAAGTTGTGTCTCTATGAGATGAAACATAGAGATCATATCTGGGAACTCGTAGGTAAACATAACGAAATGTCTATGAATATCAAAAATCTCCCCAAACGAGGTGTGATTTGTGAAACAGCGGTATTTACAAAAGTGCAACCAAAATTATTTTGACCTATTTTCTGTATTTCATTTTCACTATTCTCTATTTTCTGAACTCTAACCAGAACCGCCTCCATCAGGTTCGCTCAACACCAAACGTTTGGGAAGCTATAGATTGATACAGTCACAAAACCTACAATAACAGAATACAAATATACACAGAAAAAACAAAACAAAAAACAGATGACGCAATTTTTCACAGTTGCTCAAGTTCAGGACATGTCGTTGGTTTGCTGTCTCAATGTCTTATTCCTCATATTATGAACATAGATTATACAACTTTCGAATACACATTGTATAACTTGGAAAAAAAATATCATAAAGTTTAATCCATAAAATCTAAAAGTCTAAAATTGTATTAGAAATATGTTGCATTCAGTAACATTAATCCACGACGGATGTCACATGTGGAGCAAAATCTGCAAACCCTTCTGGCGCACCTGATATCACCCCGGTTTTTTTATGGAGTTCGTGTTGCTTAGTCTTTAGTTTTCTTTGGTGTGATTTGTATACTGTTATTTGTCTTCTGATAGTTTTTTTCGTTTTTTGCGATCATGGCATTGTCAGTTTGTTTTCGATATATGAATTTGAATATCCCTTTGAAATCTTTCGCCTCTCTTTCTCAGATAATACATAACCAAAATTGCGCTCTGAAAAGGCTGAACAAAGAACATTAAATAATATTTGTTTGTAGCATCAAATTGTAGTATAAACCGGTCTGGAACATATCTTTTCTTACTTTTTTAGGATTGAGATGGAAGAAAATCCATGTGTAAAACGATCTACAGCCGAGAAGATTTTGTGTATTTTATTTACTGCTTTGCTATGTGTTACAATTGTTTTGATAGGAATTGTCATTTTCTTTGCAACAAATGGAGCAGATCAGATCGAGGCAACAGGTCACGTATTTACTATGAAAAAAATAAATAAAGCCAATTTCATTTGAAATTATTTCACACTAAAACCCTTTTAAAGAAGTTTTTTTTTATAACTTTTCTGAAATTAACAGTATTATAGTTTCATTTATAAAAAGTAACACAATTACGCTATACATGTATCAAATTATTATAACGTTAAATTGTCTATGCCTGACACATGTTTCTGAAATATGACATTTTAAAAATCTTTAAAGGAAATAATTTGTACACTTTAAATTGATGTTATTTTCAATATAGGGGTAAATCCGCTATTTGTTGCATTTGGGAGTATGTGCGAGAAGTCAACATGCACAATAGGTATACATAAATACATATAAAAAGGAGGTACATGTACGGTGTATACGTTACCTATTTTGTAACCTGGTCATCAAAACAATCTTTAAAAACACTACAGTATATCCAGAGTCTTAAGTATGTTTGCTCCTCTTGTTTTTGAATTTTTGTCAGATATTCGGAATCCTCTGGTTTAATCCATGTAGTGGCATTAAAAAAAATTGCCCGCTAACCCCTACTTTTCTTTACATAATTTCATGCATATAGTTTAAAATGCCATCTTTGAAAATCTTATTAAATCCTTGTTATTTTTTCATAGTTTTTGAAAGAAAAAAGGTGCCAATGTTAAATGTATGAAAAATCTAGAGAGAATCATTTCCCACCAAATTTTCAATGGCTTATATCTCGAAAAGAAGCACACAGACCCTTCATTTTTTCTGCTTATATAGTTCCTTTATTTATTTACTACTAATTTATAACAGTCTTTTAAAAAGCTTGTTATTTTGAAACAGAGCAGCAAACATCCTTATGACCACTTGTAATTTGATGAATTATGTCGTCTGTTGTTTAACGAAATTTGTATAAAGTCTCATTCTCATGCATCATGCATATATTTTGATATTTTTGTTAAAAGCTGTTAAAAGCTTTAGCTAGATACATTTTTTTCTAACACACATGCATTTCGATAGTTTTGTTAAAAGCGGTAAAAAGTTTTATCTAGGTATCTTTTTTTCCCGCTATAATCATCAATACACTTGTACATGGCAACCCCCGCTTCTTCTGTATTCAATATTTAGAAATAATCAGAACGATTTAAGGTGGTACCCAACACCTTGACTAATATTAATTTGGCTCGTTTAATTTTCATAAAATTTTGACAAAATGTTTACTTTGACCTTTGACAAAAATATAAAAATTTCAAAAAATTTGAACCAACCACTTTATCAGAAAAATTTCATTGGTTATATAGCAGTTTGACAAACACTAATTTTGATCATTGAGAAGATTAATATTTCCTTAACAAAACAACGTAATTAAAACGTTTAGCTGATTTTTACAGAGTTATCTCCCTGTAGTGTTAGGTACCACCTTAAAGGTGTTACATCACGTTCATACATTTATATTTTTAGGAATTTGTACTACAGCTGCCTGCGCAAAGGCTGGTAAGTTTGATGTATTTAGTAATACATGTACGTATATGTATATACGGCAGTGGCTATTCTTCCGGCTAGTCGGGAAAATAGCAAAAATAGTCTTTTCTCCCGGCCATCTGGAAGAATAGCTTTTATCTGATATTATGCTATTACTAGTAAGCATCTTTCCTTCTCAAAACGGTTCACAGATCCCGTACATCATTTGAGGATGAATGATTTAGTTAGTGCTTGTTTCGAGGAAATTTTAAAATTGTTAAATAGACCTTAGTTCAGATATCAGTCATTTTGGTATCGGAGCAACTCTTTGTCAAAATATGACATATTTTATTCTCGTGTAAAGATTCTCATTTCGAAAAGAGTACATTCCTTTTTAATTAAACACATATATTTCATTATTGAGTATACTATTTCACACTTTTCCAAATTACATGATGATTTGTTTTTATTGTATCAGAAGACACTATAACTGTTACAGAATAATTTCTTTCGGAATTAAAAAAACACTTATCTGAATATGAAAGGAAAAGTTACGAGGTACACGTTGATATACCGGAAACAATAATTCAATGAACGTGAAAAATAAACACAAATAGCAGAGGCTCGCCAAAGGTTTCCAACAATTCATGTCAATATAAAACTCCGAAGATGTGGTATGATAATACCCTGATTCAATGAGACAACTATCTCCCAGGTACCAAATGATGTGAATCTAAGTAACGAATGATCATAGTACAGCCTTAAACAATGAGGAAAACCCATACAGTAAAGTAAGCTATAAAATGCAGTGATATGACAAAGTTTTCCCATTTCAAACGAAAAGTCATCGGCCTGGTTTTTTTTTATAAAACAAGAAACGAAAAACAAATATAACAGACAGCAACCAACTACAACTGCTGCATTTCAACCTATTGACCCCAGCTTTGAACAGGTTCATAAAGAGTGTGGCGGGGTTAAACATATGTTTGCAAGAGCTCAACAATTCCCTAACATAGGACAGTGGTATAACAACACATAAAAAACAGCTGTAAAATATCTTATGCTTTTTTTTATTTTGAGAATATGACCATGAATTATATAACTTACAGCTTCGAGGATACTAACTGCAGCAGACTTTTCTGTAAAGCCATGTGACAATTTTTACGAGTTTGCCTGTGGTAAATGGATGGAGAAGAATATAGTGCCAGAAGATAAGTCTTACCATGCTACTTTCACAATACTACGTGATGAAGTTCAAATTATCATTAAAGGTTAATGTTTACCAAAAAAAGTGCATTAATTAGGGTGTTGATGGGATTCTTTTTCACAAATTTGATAATAATGTACCCAAAAAAAAAAGAATTGAGAACAAAATGGTGCTAAAATATAAAGAATAGAGCATAATGAAAAAATACTTAAATTTAAATGAGCTAAAAATTAAAGAAAATATAAATAAAGGACCACTCCCCTTTTCACGCATCAAGGTGTAATACATGTATCACCATTGATTTTCCCCTATTAGTCTTTGTTAAATTTGCACTTTTCCAAAAATTGTGCAGAATTTATCTTTGGTTCAAATAAAGAAATACTTGGCATGAGTAAAGTTTTATCCTGTCCAGTACGATAGACAAAATTTCACATAACATTTCATTGCATATAAGAAAATAACTAATCACTGGAAGTTAACCAATCAAACTTGCACCCCTTTTTTTCCTGTGTACAAGCTTTGGTAACCATGTAACCTCAAGTTCCCAAAATATTCTATAGAAACACCAAATAAAAAAATAATGGTGCTTTGAAACACCCAATATATATGTTTATGACTCAGAATTTTTTTTACTGCAATGAAGTGTAGGATTAATTTCCTACAACTGTCAAATTCAAGGGAATATTTTTTTTCGACCCTTTTTCGTATGCAACCGGATGATGTGACGTACACCTCAAAAACCCTCAATAGTACACATAAAATAATTCAAATGAGTAGGACGTTGGTGGTTGATATGATCTGTCGTACTGTTCGGTATTTATCATGTTTATGGCGATTCCTGATATCTCTTTTGATGTATTTTTGAATAAAAGTTGAAGTTTTGATAAAAATCATAAGAAATCACAGAAAAAAATATAGTGAGGCGTAGGTTAACCGTCAATGACAATAACCAACAGTTCAAGTTCACCAAAACAGCATCTAGATATCAGTCATACATAACTTTAAACAACGGACCGTGAGGTCTAACTTATGGCCGGCCGGGTAACTGAGATAAAAAAAAAATACTAGCTTTTTCTTAATAAATAAATGGTGAATAACATTGGAAATTTGTGCATTAAACATATAAAGTTCATTGTTGTCATTTTTATCCTGGCTCAAAGGTTTGATTTATATGAAAGGAGATTACACCGATAGGAATCAAAATGCTTTTAACAAAACGAAAACATTATTATCCAGAATAAGCATTTCTTTATTTACTTTTATTACAAACCATCGACAAACCCCCAAAATGTAACGAAAAAGTTTGAGAACAAAGAAATCAAAAACATTAAATTATATCAGGTATTTATCAAAATAACCTGTTCGTGTTTTTTTTTTTTTTTTTTTTTTTTTTTGAAATAGATTATCCAACTTTCGAATAAGAAATTAGAAATATGTTGCTTTCAGAAACATTAATTAAAAAATAAAAAAACAATCATATTTTAATTTATTATAGGATTACTTGAAAACAACGGAACAGAAGATGATATAGAATCTGTTTCCAAAGCAAGAAATTTGTACCAATCTTGTATGAATACAGGTAGAAATAGCAAGGAACCAGTCTTGCATGAATTCAAGTAGCAATAGCGTGCCAGTCCTGTATGGGTACAGGTAGGAATATCAATACCAGTCCTGCACGAATACAGGTATGAATAACAGTACCAGTCTTGTATGCATACAGGTATGAATAACAGTACCAGTCCTGCACGAATACATGTAGGAATATCAATACGAGTCTTCAATGAATACAGGTAGGAATAGTACATGTAATACCAGTTCTATATGAATACAGGTAGGAAAAGTAATACCAGTACTGTATGAATACAGGTAGGAATATCAATACCAGTCTTGTGTGAATACAGGTAGGAATAGCAATATCAGTCTTGTATGAATACAGGAAGGAACAGTAATACCAGTCCTGTATGAATACAGACAAGAATAGCAATACCAGTGTTGTATGAATACAGGTAGGAATATCAATACCAGTGTTGTATGAATACAGGTAGGAATTCAATACCAGTCTTGTATGAATACAGGTAAGAAAACAAAAGTAATGCCAGTCCTGTATGAATAAAGGTAGGAATTGTATCACCAGTCCTATATGAATACAGGTAGGAATAGTAATACCAGTCTTGTATGAATACAGGTAGGAATATCAATACCAGTCTTGTATGAAAACAGGTAGGAATAGCAATACTGCTCCAGTCTTGTATGAATACAGGTAGGAATATCAATACCAGTCTTGAATGAACACATGTAGGAATAGCAGTAACAGTGTTGTTTGCATACATGTAGGAATAGTACTGCCAGTGTTGTATGAATACAGGTAGGATTAGTAATTATAGTCTTGTATGAATACATGTAGGAAAAGCAATACCAGTCTTGTATGAATACAGGTAAGAATATCAATACCAGTCTTGTATAAATACATGTAGGAATAGTAATACCATTCTTGCATGAATACAAGTAGGAATAGCAACACTAGTCTTGTATGAAGTCAGGTAAGGGAGCTACCATTTGATTTTTATGGGAGGGGAGGGGGGGGGGGGGGGGGGGGGCTAGGATGAACTTTGAAAAAAATAGGCAGGACAGGAGTTTTGAGTAAAAAAAAAGGCAGGATGAGACACTTGCAAAAAAGTCAGGATGACAATTTAGGTAAAAAAAAGTTTGGATAAACTTTTTAAAAAAAAAGGCAGGACCGAATAGAGTGAAAAATAAAAAGGCAGGACAGAGATTACAATTAAAAAAAAAAGCAGGACAAAATTTTTCATCCTAGCCTCCCCATAAAAATCAAATGGTAGCTCCCTAAGAATATCAATACCAGTCTTGTATGAATACAGGTAGGACTTCTTGTTGTCTCCTCGTAAGGTGTTTAGAGGGCGTCCGTTTGGCTTCGTGACTGACCATGGTCCCAATCCGTAAAAAGTTTGTCCGGTAGCAACAGAAGGAGGTAACACCGGTTAATTGCTACTCATACCTTTGTTTATTTCAGACTTAATAGATAAACGGGACATCTCAGTTCTATTTCCTGTATTGGAAGAACTCGGTGGTTGGCCTGTTCTTGGAAATTCTACAGGCGGTAGACTGACATTTGATAATTATAGCCTAAATGAATTATTAGGGAGACTAATGCGATATTATAATAGTCCACTCATCAGTGTGTACGTATACCAGGACTACAAACAAAGCAATAGGAATATCATTAATGTAAGTATTCTAAAAATCCTGAAATATAACCAATTCGTCGTTTTTTTTTTGTAGTATGCACTATTTCAGGTTAACTTTACCGAAAAAGTTTGGTGAAATTCTCAAAAAGCAATATGAAATGGAAAAGGCTTTGCTGTACATGTTCAGATGAATATCCCGAAGTCACTTGTGTAAGGTCATTTGTATACAATTTTTCGCCCGAGTAATGTTGGACATTTGTTGAGTTGGCCACAATACAAAATATCTTTATACGATTTTACCAATTGAGCTATAAAACCAAGCTAGGCTACACTCTAATGTGTATTTGTATCTCAAATGCTGTACCATTCAGGAAATGTTTAGACCGAATGATATCTTTCATTATTTACTTGGGAGGGGGGCACATTAAATGTTTTATGATTTACATTGCATTTTGGTCCTCTCTGCACTCCAATGTGTTGACAAAATTGTGAACCCCAATGGCAGCTACAAAATGCGATTAAGGAATACTTGCCGTGAAAATTCCAATCAACAACGATGCTTGTTTACACTTTAAACCATTTCAGTTTTGAAAAGGATTTTCATTGGTTGATATCTGGTGTATTTTTTCAATATATTTGATTCATTATTTCGAACTGAAATTGTAAATTTTTTTTTTTTCATTCCTAAAATTTCTTTTACTTCAAACTTTGTCACATCTGGGTAAGTCATGTTCATTTTTCTTTGAGGGGACTTTGAAAATTACTCGAGTTAAACCGAGATTTAGAACCGACCGAGTTCGACTCATTAGAGCTAGAAATGCCTTGAACAAACGGGAATTCTTCCAGGACTTGCAAAATACCTCGACTTACCCAAATTTTCGAAACCGCCGAGTTCGACACTATAAGAATTGTTATTTTAATTGAATAGACAGCACTTCAATAGTCACGAAAGATTTATGGAACAAGCTTATCAGCTTAAATACCTCCAAACGCCCTATGGGTATAATAGCTTATCATATATCTTGAGTTAATTCCTTTATTCTAAGATATGTTAATTGAAAATGATGCATAATAATACAGGAATAAAAATGTTTGCAATTCCTAAAATCATTCAGAATAACTGTTTAGAAAGTACAATGTCCATGTCCATAACGTGAAGTATCTGTGATTTATACTCATCAAATTTCGCCTATAAGCTAGACTAAGTTTTAAGCTGCAAATATGATTCAGATCACATAGTCTTTTCAACCAGATCAAATGAAGGTCGAGAATAAACTACTCTACAGGGAAAATTTGCCATCTGCTTACCCGAACTTCCGGAGTTACCGAGAACAACCCTTTGTGTTGCTCTGTCTTTATGCAGTGTTTTGTGTCTTCTCGTCGCCATGATTTTGTCAGTCTCTTTTCTATCTTTGGTATCTTCCGCCTCTTGTTTTCGCTTTTATATATTCAGTTTTATTTCCCTTTTGGTGTCAATCCTTTAAAACGCTTGATGAATGTGACTTCCGATATTTCAGCAAATTTATATTGCAGATGGATCAAGTTAGGTTACTCCTTCCGAGTAGAGATTACTACACCAAAGGAAAAGATGACATGGTAATACGAGGTCTAACAGAAGTTATCACTACATTCTGTAATCTGATTGGCTTAAACACAGATGACGTACGACAAGATGTATCTGATATGATTGACTTTGAAATAGGTCTGTCCAAGGTAAAATCATTTTCTCAAATCATCATATTGTTTGAAATGTTGCAATAATAATAAAAGATGAATTGGCTATGGTGGATACTTCTAATGTTACATTCAGGACGTTTTGGAAACCATAAATGAAAATAGCACTTTACAAATTTCAATCGTTCGACGCGCTTTTCTAATTTACCTTCACGAGGAAGGCTCAAACATATGACTCGTTCACACGTTCGTTTAATTCGAATTGAATTCGAATCGAATGCAAATCGAATTCGCTATTCGCGTTCACACACTCTTCTTTTTTAATTCGAATTGATTCGAATTGGCTAATTCGCATTAGCCAATTCGCATTACAAATACGTTTTTGTTAATACGAATTAAAAGTTAACGTCGCATCATTAGCAAACACGGTTAAAACTCAAACCAATTCAGCTTTAACCTCCGTTCAAGAAGTCTTTAAAGAAACACAACTCATTAAATCGGAAATCGAGATAAACAATAAGGTATTTGTAAATAAATCAAACAGTTTGTGGGACAAATTAAATGCCGTTTCTAATGAGATTAAATCTGTTAATTTAAAATCATCTCACGTCAGTGTATTACCAGAAACCGTGACAGAAACACCAAATAGAAAAAGAGAGGAAAGAAATTCTGCTACAAATAAAACTACACATGGAACATACAGCAACGCTGTTAAAAGTCGATTACCAAGTAGCTCTAATAAGCCAGTTACTTTAAATAGGACAAACCTCGGGAACCACCATGATACGCACAATCCTACCTATATGGAAAGACAAAGGTCACAAATAAATTCAAAATACACGGACCGTGAAGTCAACTCTTCTTATCCGCATTTTCTTTGTTCTAGTGAGAAGAAAAACTTATTTCTTGTTGGGAGTTCAACTCTCAAAAAAATGTCTCCAAGGAAAATGTCAACTGAATATATCAACACTAAAGTAAAGACTATTCGGGGAGGACGGATCAGAGACATTGAAGATTGCCTAATTCAGTACATCTCAGAAGGCAAACTTGATTGTGTAGATGTCATTGTTGTTCATGTGGGCACTAACAACGTGTCAGATGGAGACTCTGTTCATGCTATAATTGACGACTATCGAAATTTAATTTGTACAGTTGGACAGAGCTTACCAAGAACTAAGCTGGTAATTTCCTCAATCCTACCAAGGCCAACTCATTATCAAGCTAACCGTACAATTTATGATATCAACAACCGTCTTTTATCTCTAGAGGAACAACATGTGGAAATTGTAGACAATACTTTAGACTTTCTATATGGAGACCAGCCCAATCTTACTTTATTTGCAGACCATGTTCATACAAATGTTGCTGGTGCCAAAGTTTTAAGTCATAACATTATCTCGCGCGTGAACACGTTGCTTAATTTGTCGGATTGTACATCAAAAACTCAATCAAATTTTCAATCGGTGAGGTCAACAGGGAGGAGATTTATACCATTCAACACAACAACTCAACAACAAAATGTGTTCAGTCAAGCGTACTGGAGGTAAAGGATTTTCACGATAACTGTTCTTCTACTAGAAAATGTAACTTCATTTTGGGGAATCTTGTCAGTATTGTTATTTTGTATTTATGTACTGCAACACATATTCTATTATCTAACTCCAAATCATCTCCTTTTGCAAACCCTTTTATATTTCCACAAAAGTCACTTAATATATGTCACTTAAACATTAATCATATATTGCCAAAGTTTTCTGAAATTAAATATTTGCTATCAAAATCTAACACAGATGTGCTGTGTTTAAGTGAAACATTTTTGTCAAATTCTGTCCAAAATAAAGAAATAGATATTAAGGGTTATGATACAAACAGAAAAGACAGAATTGGAAAATCTGGGGGCGGGTTTTTAATTTATATTTCTAACATGTTAACAACAATTAGACGATATGATTTGGAAAAGGATGATATAGAATCAATTTGGGTCGAAATTATTTTTGTTCGTCAAAAACCTATATTACTTGGTAATATATATAGACCACCAAATAGTAATGTAGGGTGGATTACAAAATTTGAATCAATGTTAACAAATGTTGGTATTGAAGTTAAGGAAATAATTATTTTGGGTGACTTTAATATTGATTTGGCGTCGAGAAAAATTCCAGCTAAATGGTCCCATTTGAAAAACATTTTTAACTTGTCTCAAATAGTCTCAGTTCCCACTCGAGTCACACAAACATCTTCCACTTTGGTAGACCATATTTATAGTAATGAACCAGATAATATTCATTTTTTTTCTGTTCCAAAGTATTCTATCAGTGATCATTATCCAGTATGCATTTCTCACAAAAGAGGGTTAAAATCGAAAAAGAAAATTCATGAATATATTACGTTCAGATCTACTAAACATTTTAATGAAAATGATTTTATCAATCACATATCACAGTGTTCATTTGATAGTGTATTAGAAATTGATGACCCCGAAGAAGCATTGTTGAAATTTTTAAATATTTTTACTGAAGTATTAAATCATCATGCTCCACTCATTAAAAAGAGAGTAAAACGTTTGTATCAAAATGAGTGGATGAATGATGAAATTCTAAAAAGCATGAGAAAACGTGATTTTTATCATAAGAAAAAAGATATGTATAGTTATAGACTCTGGAGAAACAAAGTCAAATATCTCATCGAAAACTCTAAACAAAATTATTATACCAATATCATAGAACACAAAAAGGGCAACAGTAGTAAATTATGGAAGCACCTACATACTGTCAGCGGAACTGACAATCATCCCAGTATTAAAATCATAAGTGATTGTAACAAAAAGGAAATTTTAGACCGAAAAGCGTTGCTGATGTATTTAATGCTTATTTCACAAATATCACAGATAATCTTAATATAAATCAAAACAGCAACAATAGTTCTTTTAACAAACTTGATGATTTCATATCGGGTCATGTACCAGATAATGTGTATTTTTCTATACCACTTATGAGTAATGATTTTGTGTGTTTACAACTAAAAGCACTAGATGAATCAAAAGCAACAGGTCTTGATAACATAAGTGCAAAGTTTTTAAAGATGTCTTCTCATGCTATTTCACTACCACTTTGTCACATTTTTAACTTAAGTATTAAAAAATGTATTTTTCCATTTTCATTTATACTGGCAAAAGTCATACCAGTTTATAAGAACAAAGGTTCAAAACAGGATGTTTTTAATTACAGACCAATTGTAATTTTACCACTCATTTCTAAAATCCTCGAAAAACATGTGAAAACACGCTTAGTAAAGTATCTTAATAAATACAACTTATTGTATAGAATGCAGTCAGGCTTTCGCGCAAACCATTCTTGTCAAACTGCGTTAACAGCTTTATTGGATAAATGGCTTAAAGCCATTGATGATGGCGATCTTGTTGGGGCAGTGTTTCTAGATCTAGCAAAAGCCTTTGATCTTCTGAATCATGAACTGCTTATTCAAAAATTAAACATATACAAATTTGCTTATACTTCGCTACGATGGTTTACATCATATTTGGCTGACAGATATCAGATGGTATCTATTTCAAATACATTTTCAGACTTACAAAAACAAAAAACGGGTGTACCTCAAGGATCCGTTTTAGGACCTGTGTTGTTTTTAATTTTTATAAATGATCTTCATATGTCTAATCCTAATCATAACACCGATTTATTTGCTGATGATAGCACCATATCAGTCATTGGACAAAACAAAAGTTGTATCAGTCATAAACTTAATACGGTTTTACAAGATATTTTTAGCTGGTGTGATGACAATAAAATGGCTGTAAATGTATCTAAAACGAAGGCTATATGTATTGGCTCTAAACAGAAGCTTTCAGCTACATCAAATGAAAACATTAATATTGCTATGAATGGACAACAAATTAAAGAAAGTACATGTGAAAAGGTTCTAGGTATTTTTATTGATGCATCTCTATCTTGGTCTTCTCATATTGATTATATCATAAATAGGGTTAACTCTTCTTTAGCTTTACTAAAAAGGATAAAGAAATATTTAAATCACAAAGCTAGACAAATGTTCTATGACGCTTACGTTTTACCTCACTTAGATTATTGTTGTTCAATATGGGGAAACTGTAATAACTTTCTATTAGATAGTTTACTAAAACTGCAAAAGAGGGCAGCAAGAATAATTTTAGACGAACATGATTACACCAAACCTTCAAGCGAATTATTTCACGAATGTAACATTGTGCCGATTACACAAAGAATACATTATCATAAATCATTACTAATGTATAAGGCAAAACATGGCTTAGCTCCAGAATATATGTCCAGTCTTATTTTATCAGCTTCTGCAAACCAAAAATACAATAAGATTTTCGTCCTCAGATAGTTTTATAATTCCAAAACCAAATACAGAGTTGTACAAGTCTAGTTTCTCGTACAATGGACCAAAAGTATGGAATGCTCTTCCTGGTTCAATTAAAAAATCAAACACAGTATTAGAATTTAAACATAACTACAAATCTATGTACTTTTAACATTACCATGATATTTGTACTGAAATGCCATATATAATAATTGTTTATTGTATTTAAGTTGTATTACATCTTTATTTATCATTGTTATTGAATATGTATTGTTTATTTTTAATGTAATTATTATTGTATTAAGAGAGCCTTATTGAAAATTGGTGTAATCCAAATGAGTTACTCTCTCTAAATAAAGATATTATTATTATTATTATTATTATGACAGTAAAGCGATTTTGACGCGCATTGCATTTCGAATTAGAATTTACGTTCGGACGTAAAACGTTTCGAATGCGAATTAAACTAATTCGAATTAGTTAATGCGAATCGAATTCGAATTACGTGTGAACGCAGTAATAGACTCGCAATCCTTAGTGCTTAAAGATTTGGGTATGTAATCTATTTGGAGTGGAGAAATATATGCTGCGTTCACACGTAATTCGAATTCGCTTCGCATTAACTAATTCGAATTAGTTTAATTCGCATTCGAAACGTTTTACGGCCGAATGTAAAATTTAATACGAATTGCAATGCGCGTCAAATTCGATTTACTGTCCAAACATCGTTAACTTTTAATTCGCATTATCAGTTAATTAATTATAGTTTAATTCGAATTACTATTAAGAAAGTGTCCACACCTCAGTTTAATTCGAATTAAAGCGAATTAACTAATTCGAATTAACGAAAACGCATTTCTAATGCGAATTAGCCAATTCGAATTCGATTCGAATTAAAACAAGAATAGTGTGTGAACGTGATTAGCGAATTCGATTCGCATTCGATTCGAATTCAATTCGAATTAAATGTACGTGTGAACGAGGCATAAAAACATCAGTGCGTTGTAAAATATATTTAACATTGGTCTACCATGATGTTGTTGTAAATGTTGGCTGCAAATGGCAGGATGAAATACAGATAAATTAGTGTTCCTATTGTGGGTAAAGTGGTTTTATTTTGTAATTTAATCTTAACTCTATAGTTTCATAAATTTAACTGGATTTTGAGATTTTTTTATTATCTAATATTTTCTAAAATCTAATTCGTAGAAAAATGCTACTTGTCCAATTATTATACAAATTGTTTCCGATGCACATCTACGATTCCCTTTGGAACATTCCAATATAAATAAGAAGATGTGGTATGAGTGCTAATGAGACAACTCTCCATCCAAGTCCCAATGTATAAAAAGTTACCAATTATAGGTCAGAGTACGCAATTTACATCTGTATATCGATAGTCACCATAGTCAACATGTTGTATCAATGTGTGACATTTATTTTGTTTATCTATAAAAATAAGATCAACAATTATTTATGATTGACATTAATGTTTGCATGATTTTTTAATTTTAGTCAAAATACTGTTATCATAATTTTCAATTGTAGTAATTGTTTATAATAAGTAAAAGACGCTCAAACATTTTACAGCTTTTTGGTGTTCGTCATTTTTGTTTTTTTTTACGATAATTTAAAAGGTCAATATTGAGTATTAATTTGTGTCTATTTTTTCAAGAACTAAAAGACGTCTTTTAATGCTGAGCTTAATACACATAAAATAAGAACATATACATACATAGGTACTGGACAAACTAAGGACTGGTGATGCATTATGGACACATCTCTTTTTTCGGACGTTCTGATAGGGTAAACAAACAACTATTTGTAGATTTACAGTATACTGAAATTTCAAAATCAAGACATCTTTATTTACAGATTCAGACGCCTAGAGAGCAAAGAAGAGATTATGAAAAACGATACAATCCTTTCAAAGTTGGACAACTAAACAAAGAATTTGGAATATCATTAAAAGTAGAGTATTCAATAATATTATTACCTTCCTTGCACAGGCCACCCGGCAAAAATCACATGACTGGAAACATTCTGGCTAGATGATACCATAAAAAAGGGTAGAAAATATAGTATATATGTAAAAAAAAAAATTATCACAAAAATACTGAACTCCAAGGCAAAATTGAAAAAGAGGAGAAGTCCATAAAAACTGACAAAATTATGCGATGTTCTAAAACATCACTGATTTGTCGAATGTGTAATCTGATACAGCTGTTTGACATGAAGTGAGTTTTTCTATTATTAGATTCAATCACTGTTTAGAAAAAAATGTGTCATGTCTCTCATTGCAGATATTGACATAACATATTAAGATAACAACAATCTACAATATATCATATTTACACCATGTATCTGGTAATTTTTGTTTCGGGTATTGTTTTGGCATGGGCCGTTGAGTAGTATTTAATCGATCATAAGGTGTTCATTGTTCATGGTCTTTCACATTGCATATTTGTGATATATTTCATGGTAATTGTCATCCCCAATAAGCGCAAACATTAGACACACTCGAAAATTGAGCCGATTATCGGTACAGTTTTATATACAACGATTAATAGTTTTGCCCTTATATTATAACAATGATATATATTCCAGCAGTGTACCTTCCTGTAAATAAACTCATCGTAGATACCAGGAATAACATTTTGTATGCCAGACGCGCTTGTTCGTCTACAAAACTACAACAAAACTCAGCAAGAGATACACAAGTTTAAGAATTGTCCGACGTATTTTCTCTCGAGCTTCATTTCCGAGGGAATAAACACACAAACGCACAGACTAAATACACGAATGCTTTTTGGAAACCGTATATGTTTTACACCGGAATGAAATAAAGCGTACAATATAACATATTTGTATCGATGCATGAGTTTCATATTTTCATGCATAGCACTGATACAAGGTTCATATAAGAACACTAAAATACATTTTGTGAACATAGAATCTGGTATTAGTGAAAAAAAAATATATATATAATCTAAACCTATAAGGAGTCTTCATTTGCAGTTTTATGACAAAGGATACAGTGCTTAACGTTAGGTTAAGGTAATCTTATTGTGAGTAAAACACGGAGCGGAGCTTGTTTGTTTTTGAAGACAAACTTGTATCACCTGGTGAAAGAAGTTGTGTTCCAAAATACTGATAACATGTACAAAAACCCTCCACAAATTATAATTTGTACAAAATTACGGCTTGTTCACAACATGTATATCAAATAACTTTGAAAAGATTTGCCTGGATGTATTTAATCCTTTTTATACTCTAACTTGTGCATGCTTTTTGTATTTTAGCATAATTTCAGCTTAGAGGGTTATCTTCGGGAGACGTTTTCCATGAAAGGTGTAGAAATTGAGCTAAACGATGAAGATACTGTTATTATACATGACATGAATTACACGTCAAAATTTAATGACTTTTTGGATAGCTATTCTCCAAGGTACATTTATTGTGTATATACTTGACAGGTAATCGCTTAAATCATATATGCACTCAACAGTTTTGAAGAAAACACTTAAAACTTGTTTAAATCTACCGTTTTGTAGAAAACACGTAAAATATGTTTTGTAGAAATACTCAGGAATTCATTCACTCTATGGTATCGTAGAAACTCTTATTAGATTAAAGCACGTGTGCTCTCTAGTTTATGCAGGGAGTAGTCGTCTTCTCATTTTTGTTGAAAACACTTTAAACGTGTTTTCACTCTATAGTTTTTGGGAAAAATTTAAAACCTGTTTTTACTCTATAGTTTTAGGGGAAACACTTCAAACATATTTTTTCTTTACAGTTTTTTATGGAAACAGTTAAAACATGTTTTCACTCAACAGTTTTGGGGGATACTCTTAAAACATATTTTCACTCTACCGTTTTGAGGACTCTATAGTTTCACCCTACAGTTTTTGGGGAAACACTTAAAACATGTTTACTCTTTATAGCTTTTGGAGAAACACTTTAAACATGTTTTCATTCTATTGTTTTGGGGTAAACATTTAAAACATATTTTCACTCTACAGTTTTGGGGAAACAGTTGAAACATGTTTTCTCTCCAAAGTTTTAATGGAAGTACTTAAAACATGTTTGTAATCTACAGTTTTGGAGGAACCACCTAAAAGGGAACCTCTTAAAACATGTTTCACTCTATAGTTTTGGGGTAACTCTTAAAACATGTTTTCTCTGAATATTTTGTGAGGAAACACTTAAAACATGTTTTCACTCTTGAGTTTTGGGGGGAAAACACTTAAAACATGTGTTCAGTCTATACCTTTTGGTGAAACACTTAAACATGTGTTCAGTCTATAGTTTTGGGGAAACACTTTAAACATGTGTTCAGTCTATAGTTTTGGGGAAACACTTAAAACATGTTTGCATTCTACAGTTTTTGTAGGGAGCAGTTGTCTTTACATTTTTGTTGAAAACACTTAAACATGTTTGCTCTTTATAGGTTGGGGGGGACTTAAAATTTGTTTTCTTTCTATGGTTTTGGGGAAACACTTAACACTTATTTTCTCTCTATAGTTTTGTAGGGATTAGTTGCCTTTACACATTTTTTAAAACACTTAAAACAAGTTTGCACTATTCATGTGAAATGTGGTAGAGGGAAGTCGCCGTTATATTTTGGTGGACAACAATTAAAACATGTTTGCACTCTATGGTTTTGAAGGGAGTAGTCGCCGTTATATATAATGGTTGACAACAATTAAAACATGTTTGCACTCTACGGTTTTGAAGGGAGTAGTCGCCGTTATATAATGGTTGACAACAATTAAAACATGTTTGCACTCTACGGTTTTGAAGGGAGTAGTCGCCGTTATATATAATGGTTGACAACAATTAAAACATGTTTGCACTCTACGGTTTTGTAGGAAGTAGTCGTCGTTCTATAATGGTTGACAACAATTAAAAAGATGTTTGCACTATATGGTTTTGTAGGTAGTAGTCGCTGTTATATAATGGTTGACAACAATTAAAAAGATGTTTGCACTCTATAGTTTAGCAGGGAGGAGTCGCCGTTATATAATGATTGACAACAATTAAAAGATGTTTGCACTCTACAGTTTTGTAGGGAGTAGTCGCCGTTATATAGTGGTTGACAACAATTAAAAGATGTTTGAACTCTATGGTTTTGTAGGGAGTAGTCGCCGTTATATAGTGGTTGACAACAATTAAAAGATGTTTGAACTCTATGGTTTTGTAGGGAGAAGTCGCCGTTATATAATGGTTGACAACAATTAAAACATGTTTGCACTCTATAGTTTTGTAGGGAGAAGTCTCCGTTATATAATGGTTGACAACAATTAAAACATGTTTGCAATCTCTAGTTTTGTAGAGAGAGGTCACTGTTATATAATGGTTGACAACAATTAAAACATGTTTGCAATCTCTAGTTTTGTAGGGAGTAATCACCGTTATATAATTATTGACAACAATTAAAACATATTTTCATTCTATAACTTTGTAGTAAACCCATAGAAAACTAAATATTGAGATTTAGTTGAGTAAAATCTAGTTAAACGGTAAAAACCAACGAATTTGATAAAAATAACAAATAGACAAATACAAAATACAACAAGCAACAATAAATTACAACAAATATATAGTATGTTGTCTAGCTGTACACTTTTCACATCTCAGCTTAGCATGTTGTGTTTTTTACAGAACGGTTGCAAATTATGTTATCTTAAGATTTCTCCGAAATAGATGGAATAATTTACCTAAGAGATTTACAGATTTGGTTTTAGAGTTATCCAAGGTAAACATTTGTTTTACGTCATTTCTACGTAGTTTTTACGTCATTTCTACGTAGTTTTACGTCATTTTTACGTCAAGTAGACATGAATAGACATTTTCAGTTCAACTTGGTGTTAGTAAAATATTTAAGAAAACGAAAACTATGAATCTGATTGAACGTTGTGTTGAGCATGTCGAAGATTTTGTTTCAATTACATTTTGAAGAATTACGATATATATGTACATCTACATTCCAAATTTATACAGAATAGAATAATGGACAAAAAAAAGAAAAGAGAAAAAATGGCCTAAAAACTAAAAAAAAAACAGAAATGAAGACCCCCTTATCCAGACTCTCATTTAGTGTTGCGATGACAGCATATGGTTTTATATAACTTTATCATCATTATAGTAACTGCAACTTGATTTAAAGTCTATATATATAAAGTACCGATAATTGATGGATATTTATATCCCATACTCTCGCCCAAAACATTTCAAATTAAAATGAAATAGGGACAGTTTTGTTGTAGTTGACAGACGGAAGAACAGTTTCGAAACCAAGATGGCAAAAATGTTCTTCATTAGTAACATCTTACATTGGACTCGCAGTAGGACGTCTGTTTGTAAAGGATAATTTTGCTCCGGACGCAAAAGTTGAGGTAAGCGTGATAACAAAAAACTAAAAATGCTGTGTGAAGACAGACTTGTTAATACCATGAATTACAATATTCGTAAGTTTTGGGTATATGGAATGCCTTTTCCCCCTTAAAGCATGTCTCTTTGACACATTCCCCATTTCCATTCTCAATTTTATTACAATAAAAATAAAGTCATCAATTTAAATGAAATACCATTATAAACTGATGGACTCTTGATTTTATTTCTTATAACTTAAGGCAGGTATGTGTTCAAAATTAATGTAAAAGGAGCTTTATTGTTTAAATCTGATTAGGAGACCAGTCAAGTTATGTAAATAAGCAAACAAATTCCTGGATCATTTAGAGATTGATAAGATGTCTACAACAATAGACGAGTTTTGTCTCTAGTCACTTGTGTCTCTAGTGATCTATACAATATATATAAAATAGAATAATAGCATTTTTGTTTTTGACATTGACTTTATCAGAAAGAATATCAAGCGAGCCCGCAAGGTCGAGCTTATATTCGAGCTGATGAAGTCAGTTACTGTATACAAAAATTATATTGTCATTATACTTTTTATCGGCAATTTGACATTAAAAAATGTTTGTGTTTTTTTTTTTTTTTTTTTTTTTTTTTTTTTTTTTTGAGAATGTGAAATAAGCGAATTAGTAAGTAAACTGCTTTTACGCGTACAAAACGTTGTGATAGTTGTTCGGTTGTATGAATGAAGTTACGTGCATTTAATTGACAATTTACGCGGATAGACATGAACACGAGACGTTGCTACACTGATACGTGACGTCATTGCCTAATATTTTCGAGTATCAAGTCCTGTCCATAATCTTAACAAATATTAGGCAGTAAGATCAAAGGAAAAATGTGCAAATTGCCGATAAAATTATGTATTATTCTTGTGGATATCTGATGAATGGAGATGTTGGGTTTGAAAGCATTATCGAGTATATGTTTGGCTATGATAAACTATAATATTTACCCAAAATGCTTAATTGAGACAGTAATCCAACATTACCATCCTTGAAATATATTAAGACGTTAAAAAACATGCACGAGGCCTATAACGAGTCGTCTCTAGTACTTTAGCTAGTATGATTATATAACAGCAACCTAACTTAACAAAGAAAACAACAGAAATGAAAAGTTGAACATAGTATATATATACGTATCTTCAACAATAGACTAATGACTTATAGTTTACAATATTCCTCCCATTTGATAAACTAAACGTCTTTATCTTGCAGTGAGGTGAGAGATTTTTTATTTATTTTTTTTTTTTTTTTTTTTGCTTCGTGATGAATGCCTCATTGACTTTCAGATGTAGAACAGCAATAAAAGCTCTGTTCCTTTTCTTTTCGTGTGTTTTTTGCTGTTCATGTACTGATTTTGCGTCATGGGTTGGTACCCCGTATCCTTTGTTTTTTCTATTAAGAAGACTGCAAATGATCGGCCATTAAACCAAAATACCCTAACGGCCAAAAACATTTCGATATAAGTAAAGACGTAAAATTCAATTCGCTTATTTTCGCTGAATTGTAAGGTTGTTTTTTTTTTTGTTTTTGTTTTTGTTTAGATGAGCACTATGATTAAATATATAAAAGAATCGTTTAATGATATATTGAACGAACTGGATTGGATGGACGAAGATACAATGGCTGTAGCTGAAGAAAAGGTGTGTGTATTCATTAGACAATCATTTGACACATGCATTTCGACGGAACATTTCATTATTTTACGGCCAGTTACAAGTATTGCATACTAGTATCCAGCACAACAACAGTTAATAATTCAGTCAATAATGAGGTTCAATCCGGATAAAGGATAGGATATTGGACTACCACTGGAATACATGTATACATTCTGAAAACCATAAAGATCCCGTTAAAAAATTAAGAAGATGTTGTATGATTGTTAATGAAACAAATTTCAACCAGAGATCACTAAGAAGTTAGAAAAAATACTATAGATCATCGCACGGCTTCAACAATGAGCAAACCCATACCGCATTGCTAGCTATAAGAGGCCACGGCATGACAAATGTTTAACAATAAAAACGAGAAAACTAACCTGATTAAATCAAAAAACAACAAATGAAAAACAAATATGATATACAGCAACAAACGACGAACACTGAATTACAGGGTCCTGCTTTGAGACAGACACATACAGGAAGTGGCGGATTGAAACATGTTTGAGGTTGCACTTAGTAAATACAGCTGTTTCACAGGCCACGCCTCTTTTGGGAGATATAATATTCATAGATATTTTAATTTGCTTACATACTGGTTCCCAGATATGCTCTCTATGTTTCATCTCATAGAGAAATAACTTGGGAATGTTACCAGTATAAAAACACAAGGTACCTGTGAAAGATGAATTCTGAGGCAGATCAAAAGTAAAGGTAGGGGTAGTACAGAATTTTAGTATAAGTTTAAACTCTTAGAAGTTCGGGGCATATAAATGTTGAAAATATGCCGCACAGCCCTATGTTTTGACCTTTGAATAAAAAAGTAGTGCATATCAACTTTCCGTTCTAAGATATTTTTTTTTACGAAACTTCAGAGTAAAAGTTGCACAGCTTTAGCCTCAAAGGGAGTTCCTTTGGGAAATTGCATCGTCTATATTTACAGAAGTGCAACCTAGAGGGAGCCAAACCCTCACCCTAACATGCGACAGTGGTGTAACAGCAAAATATAAGAACAATCTATAAAAATCAGTTGAAAGTGACATGACTCATCAGATCCACACAAAGTACACAAAAAAAACTACTAACTGAAAAACTTAAGACATTAAGAACTGATAGCATGAATTATACTGTTAAACTGTAAAAGTATTTAATATGACAATTTTTCTCTACCCCAGTTAACCCTTAAGATTGAGGTATATTCAACATACTTCTACAAATACATATCATGCACTTTTTGTAAATTCAATAAGATACTCAGATTTTCCTTGGCCACGCAAACATGAAATGAAATAGAATCTAAACAAAGCATATGACTACAGCCGAAATTTAACTTTTGAACAACTCCCTAGGTAGCAGTCAGATTCCTTTATTTTGCTTACGGTATTGAGAAATATAGATTCCACCACTGCAACAAGTGTGTTACGATATTTCTCCACTCGAGATAGTTAAATTTTAATATTTAAAGCGTGAGGCTTGCCGAGCTTTTTAAATAGTTAAAATTTAACTGTTGAGAGTGGAGAAATATTGTAATACACGAGTTATAGTGGTGGAATCTGTTTCTCTAATGATTTTTATCCTTCCATTTCAAAGATTTGCAGAAAGTTGTGTTCTTTATACGTGACGTCATCATGCATGGTCGCCTTTTTTCATGACGTCCCATAGGAAATTCAGAAGAAACCAAGAAAATTTTACGTCATAATTAAATTTCGACCAATTATTTGCCGAGAACAGATATTTCACTAGTGAGGAGAACAATTTTTTCACAATCGGTTGGGAAATGTGAAAATAGTGAAAAATTTAGAGAAAACACGTTTAACATTGTTGACTAATCATAATATAATATATTGTATTTGTTAAAAATACCAATGTATAACAACGAAATCTATAAATTAATATTCTTTTTCAGATTGAATACATGGAGGAAAAAATAGGATACGATGAAGATATTTTGGATGACGATTTATTGGATAGGCGCCATGAAAACGTATTATTATCGTAAAATTTGTTACTTTCAAACTTTTAGGAAATATATCTAGTAGGTTAAGGGACATACATGTAAATTATAAAAAAAATTATGAATATAATTTTATTCTTAGCTAAGTTTTTTTTCCGTGTATATTTTTTTCTCGAAGAAAATGGCTTAAACATATCTACAAAGTTTTGACTAGAACGGCTTGTCATAAATTATACATGTCAAAGCTTCCAAAAGTCATTTCTGTGTTGTTTTTTTTTTGTTTGTTTTTTTTTTTTTTTCTTTCTCTCCCTTTTCTATTTATTGTACAATTGATTGATCGTTCCCAAAGAAAAGTATATGACGCATTTTCACGAGCTCGAAACAACAAAACCACTGTGCTGTTATTTTTTCGGTTTGTCTTGAAGTTGTTAACTATTATATAATTGAACACATGGATACATCCCTTTTTCATGTTTTATTGTTTCCACAACAAAATCAAAATGTTATATTTTTTTATGAGGTTTAACATAAGTCGAAGTATATGAATCGGAATACATTGTGTACAATGTAATGAAATAAAACTGCATTGATATAGTTAAAGGTTTTTATATATAAGGGTCTGGATGGGCGTCATTCATTTCTGTATTCGTTAATTCTTAATTTCTATTGTTTGCTATTCTTTATTTTCAGCGCCCTAGGTATTATTCTCTATTCTTTATTTGTTGGCCTATTCTCTATCCTTTTTTCTTTGGTTTTTTTTCGTAAGCTTGTTCCATTATTCTCTATTCTGTAAACCCCTTTCCAGACCCTCAAATATATAGTTTCAATTTTTATTTCAGGTCAGCATCGATCCAAACTTTTACTTTGACAATATATTAGGATTATTAAACACGGCTGTTAAGGAGAACTTGATTAAGCTTCGATCAAAAGTATATCGCCTAGGGTAACTATATACTGAAATTTCCTGTATGATGCATGATGTATGTACAGCCTTGAACTTTTTCAATAAAAAACGTGAAGGTGTATGTACAATGTTTAAATGGTGTATTCGGATGTTGTCCGGTGGATGTTGCATGCATGAATGATGAATTTGGAACGGTGTATGAGGCGTTGTTGTTGTTTTTTTTTTTTTTTGTATTTTAGCTCGTTATAAACAGATATCTATTGAAATTTACAATCCCCCCAAACACGTTGCATTGTGGACATATTATAATGATGCGACTTCGCGTATGATTCAAGTTGGAATTGATAAAGGGGAACAGTGTATGTCGTAATAGTGTATGGTGTATGTTGCAGTGGTACACGTTGTATGGCGTAGGTGGGAAGTGTTCACCATTCAAGGACTGTTTTAAATTAAGGATGTTCCAAATTTTTAGTTTACCTTAATATTTTAATACCTCCTCAGGATTTTCCTAAGAAATGCATTACACAATTTTTGCCCTGTAACCCCTTTAGTTCTAAATACCATTCATTGTTTTATGGTGGGCATGGATTTCCCCCTAATCTTTGATGGAGACAAACTATTTTTTCACATCCCGTCTGAAAAAAATTTAAAATAAAATATTCAGGAAATTTAGAATCAAACAATGTATTAAAAAAAAACCCTTTGACCCTCTCAAAAGATAAATGAGCGGTGCCTATGAATCATAAAAAGTAAAATAACAAAAATACCGAACTCCAAGGAAAATTCAAATCGGAAAGTCCCTTATCAAATGACAAAATCAGAAGCTCAAACACATCAAAAGTAAAATCACAAAAATACGGAACTCCGAGGAAAATCCAAAACGGAAAGTCTCTAATCAAATGGCAAAATTAAAAGCTCAAACACATCAAACGAATGGATAACAACTGTCATATTCCTGACTTGGTACAGGCATTTTCTTATGTAGAAAATGGTAGATTAAACCTGGTTTTATAGCTAGCTAAACCTCTTACTTGTAAAGGCATGTATCTTAAAAGTGCACATGCGAGTGTTATCCAATCATTAACCTGTTTCCAAATATTTTGCCTTGTGGTTTTATTAAACATGTTTTAAACTTGGCCTATCAGAATCAAAGATGGCCTCTGGTGGCCTTGTTTTACGTCCAATCGAATTCAAATGTGGTTCGCTTGTTGGGACCCTTCCATTCATGATTTGCCGCCAAGATTACTCATAATTGTCCGAGTGATTTCAGAAAAGGAATTCAAAATTGAAAAGTTCACAGACGACGGATGACAACAGACGATGAAAATATGATTCATCTACAAAATCTCTTCATTAACCAACTATACATGTATACAAACAACTTAATATTTTACCTTAGGGTCTATTGTCCAATAGAATATAAGCTGTTAGTCCTTGACAAGATATATTTGTAAATGTCAGAAGGTGAGGGTAGAAGTCAATGAGACAGATTGAGTAATATAACGACATACACACAACAAAAAGACATATTTTTAACGTTTAACAACAAAATGTTTAAACCCGCTGCATTTTATGCACCTGCCATAAGTCAGGAGCCTGTTGTTCAATGGTTGTCGTTTGTTGGTGTGGTTCATACGTGTTTCCCCGTTTCTTTTTTTTATATAGATTAGACCATTTGTTTTTCCTGTTTGAATTGTTTTACACTAGTCATTTTGTGGCCCTATATATCTTGCTGTTCGGTGTGAGCCAAGACTCCGTGTTGAAGGCCTTACTTACTGACCTATAATTGTTAACTTTTTATAACTGTGACTTGGATGGAGAGTTGTCTCATTGGCACTCATACCACATCTTCTTATTTATACATAAAGATCAATCTTGTGAGTTTTCAGACTGCATCATCAAAAGTGAGTTCAAACTAACAATTTTTGTAAATGTTTTGTAGTTGGGAAACTGCTCCGTCAACTGTCAATGCTTACTACAGTTCTACAAACAACAGAATAAGTAGGTACTTTTTTTTCCTAAAATTTAAGAGGGGCTTAAAGGGGGGTATCTGCACGGATGAACGCGAAATAAAATTTTGCCATAACGAACCTTCTTCACGGCTGCACGTGAAATAAAAATGGCAAAACACGTTGAACGAAAATAACCCTTTACCACCTCAAGGTTTTTTCCCCAACAGAAACATAATTTTTCGATCATTTGACCTTTTAGGATAGCAAACTCAATCCGTCCATCCTCCTTTTAAAAAATGTGAAATCTGAATGATGTTTTTGTTTTTTGACAAATGCCTGTAGAATTTATACGAAACCTCATTTTTCGGACCGTGACTGGATGAAAACAAAAGTGTTCTATTAGAACAGCAGACATAATCGATACATATCTTTTTTTTTAATTTGAATATTGAATTAGATCTTTTAATAAAATTGAGAATTGAAATGGGGAATGTGTCAAAGAGACAACAACCCGACCATAGAGCAGGCAACAGCCGAAGGCCACCAATGGGTCTTCAATGCAGCGAGAAACTCCCGCACCCGGAGGCGTCCTTCAGCTGGCCCCTAAACAAATATGTATACTAGTTCAGTGATAATGGACGTCATACTAAACTCCAAATTATACACAGGAAACTAAAATTAAAAATGATACAAGACTAACAAAGGCCAGTGGCTCCTGACTTGGGACAGGCGCAAAAATGCGGCGGGGTTAAACATGTTTTTTGAGATCTCAACCCTCCCCCTATACCTCTAGCCAATGTAGAAAAAACAAACGCAGAACAGTACGCACAGTAAAACTCAGTATAAGAGAAGTCCGAGTCCGATGTCAGAATGGGAAACAAAAGAAAATAAACAAAATGACAATAATACATAAATAACAACAGACTACTAGCAGTTACTGACATGCCAGCTCCAGACTTCAATTAAACTGATTGAAAGATTATGTCTTCATCATATGAATCATTTTTGTCTTTTAACAAAAAGTTTCTGAATTTATAGGAAACCTTATGATGTTAATTCATACTATTGATTTATTGTTTCTTTCGATCATATCGATAACCATCCGAATTATGTATAACCCAGGGTGAGGTTTATTGGATTATAACCCGAATATTTGTTGGCTATCAAATGAAGATTCAAGTCGGTATAAAGTATAACAACTTGATAAACAAACCCATCAAGAATATAAACGATGTTACAATGTTGAGTCCGGTGTTTACGGTTAGAGAACCTTTCCAAAACTGAATATGAATTATTTTTAAGAAGTATATAAAACATAATAATAAAGAAATACATGTACTATGGATTAAGCAATTATTGTCCATTGTTAAGATAATCTGCTAAAACTGTCTTTGACACGTAGATATGAAATCCATTATCGGATTAGTAGATACATACATTTAAAACCAAACGATAGTTATGTGGGAAAGTTTGAGCTATAGATGACAATTCAAATATATGATAATTTAAGTCCGAAAAATGATAGTCCTGTACCAGGATTGCTTCCCTTTATTAGTAGATATTTAGTCAGCCGTAAGCGGTTGAGCTAAGGAAGTGTTTCTTTGGCTCAGTAGGATAACGCGCTGCCTTGTAACACAGAGGTCCCGGGTTCGACTCCCAGAGGAGACAAGCGATTTTGTAATGGAATTCATGCTCTCCGGTTACAGTCCAAACAATTTACATGCTTTTCGTCCGGTCCAAAGGATACTGAATCATCTCTGATAAACTTGCTGTTTACCGATTATGTATATATTCTATTATTTGTATGGCTTGTGTGACAGCCAATCTATTAATCAGTTTAATTTAATTTAAGTATTCTTAGGGCTATCCATCTCCACATGCAATATTCATATAGACCAACATAATATGCAAGCCACTTAAAGCATGCGTGATTTGAAAATTCTACAAGCTACAAGTACAGTCTACTTAAGGTTTTAAAGATAAGAAGAAGTTTATTTTTAAGAACATTTCTTGCAGAAAATTAATATAGATTTTTTTTCTTTTTATAGTATTTCCTGCAGGTATTTTACAGCAACCATATTATCATAAAGATCAGCTGTGGTAAATTATCATATATTGTTATTTTATAATTATGAAGCATGCAAGCAATGCAGAAATGTCCAATTAAGGTGGTGCTAAACACCTTGACTAAAATTAGTTTAATTTTCATAAAATTTTTACAAAATATTTATTTTGACCCTTTGACAAAAATATAAAAAATTCAAAACAACTTGAACTATACACTTTATCGGAAATATTTCATTTGATATATTTGTCAAACACTAATTTTGATCATTGAGAAGCTTAATATTTCCTTAAAAATAGAACGTGTTTAAAACGTTCAGCTGATTTTTACAGAGTTATCTCCCTGTAGTGTTATGAACCGCCTTAATTTTGAATCTAATACAATAAATCAACTGCACTTCTACGGTTGACAGATTATAGACCAATGCTCATTCGGGACGCTCAAAAGACTCAGCAACATGAACCTTCTAAAACCGGGGTTGATCTCAGGTCGTCAGAAAGGGAAAGCAAGTCCTGCTCCGCATGTGGCACCCGTCGTTTAGCAATAAAAATTTAAGCTTTAGCTTCATAAATATTCATTCAGTTGAATAACTTCTTCAACAATATCTCATGTGTTAGTAGTTTGTATCCTGTTGTTTTATAAGATATTTTGAAAGTAATTTTATAACAGGTCCCTGAATTTCGGCGCAATTGGAACTTTGATTGGACATGAAATAACACACGGATTTGATGACGGAGGTATGCATATCTTAGTATGAATAATAAATTACATACTTACATGTAGGGAGACACTAAGGATGTAGAGCTCCACAATACTTTCAAAGAAACAACTTGCATTAACTCGAATAATTCTGCGTCTTCTAGTGGCCTAGAACCTATCAGAGTTAATTAAGTAATCGGAGATCAGTTGGTGATCGGCGGAATTTAACGACTGTTATTATTCGGGTTAAATATGCATGGACAGAATAAAAGGAGTGCCGAAGAAAATGAACTGCACAGAATGTCCAAACACCAAATGGTAGTGCAACAATGGAATACCCCTAAATGCAGTAACCAATCAATCTCAAGCCCTAAATATTATGAAAAAGTGCAATTATTTGTTTCCTTTTTTAATAAGCCACTAGCACTGAGCACATAAGACATGTTCCTTTCGTTTGCACGGAGTATTCCTGTCGTATATGTTGATTGCACATGTACAATGTATAAACTATTATGTATGCAACATTAGATTTGTTGTTGCCTCTGATAGAGTATGACGTGAAAAAAAAAGAAGATTCTTGAAAGAATTTCAGAACTTTTTTTCTATCGAATTAAATCTATAAGACACGTTCGAAATGCAGCCATTTGATGACGAAAAATGTTCTACAAAAATCAATTGGTTCACGGTTTAAAGTACACAATAAATGCAGACTTATTTTTTAGTTCGATTTCAATTTTATGACGCCAAGCACGTGTACCCAATGTTTTGTTGGAATTAGAACACGGCTTCGTGTATACAGGTATATGAAGGCGAAAAAAGAGCGTCAAATTATAAACAAACAATTTTGAAGTATCTAACAAATATTTATTTTACATGATATCCAAATATATCATTTTTTTTAAAATTTAATATTGAAGGTCGTCAATTTGATAAAGATGGTCGACTTGATCAATGGTGGAACGATAGTGCAATTGAACGGTTTAATAAAAAAACAGATTGTTTTAAGAACCAGTATGGTAACTTTAGATTACCAGAAGCAGGAGGCATTAAGGTAATATGTGCACGGAACTGCGTAGTTGCGACCATTTGTTTACGGGCTAGAGGGGGCAGGAAATTTTTGTGTGGGCAGAATAACTAATTTTCATGTTGTCTTAGGCGATATTTTTTGTTTAGTTCTTACCATGCCAGGATATTAATTTGCAAAGATCCTCCTCCCAACCAACAGATAATCAAATGGTTTTTCCCCTTATCTTTCCAGGACAGTTGGCTCAATCATTATTTTCAAAGGTGCTCCCTGTTATTTACATAGTACATGTATTAGTATGTTTGTTTTGATCATGTCTGTTGGAAATTCATTATTGGCGGTCTTTTCTATATTTTTCTATGGAACTGTCTATTTGTCTCCGTGCAGAAGATACCAAATTCCGCTTAAAGGATCACTCACTAAAGTTATGTGCATGTTGTGATAGTCTATATTACGAGGTGTATTCCTATTGATCTTTATCTATATTAGTTTTAATCATTTCATCACAAAAAGAAGAAGATGTTTGAAAGGGCAGTAAAACATGGGAACCGTTTAAATCACTAAATTATATATGGGTGCCATGAGCAATATGACAGCTGCCACTAGTGGAGAAGGATCTGCTTAACCCGTGTTTTCCTTGTTGCTCCGTCTTTTGTTCTATGTGAAAGAGAGACGAAAAATACCAAAGGGACATTCAAAAATGAGAATTATTTCTTGGTCTGTAAATTAAGCATAAAGTGTATAATGAAAAATTTCTCTAATTTTTGTGCTATTTTCACATTTCTTGATCGGTGTGAGAAAAATATAATATCTGTTCTCGGCAAATGATTGGTCGAAATTTAATTATGAATTTCCTATTATGACGTCATGAAAAAGGCGACCATGTCTGATGACGTCACATTTTAAGAACACAACTTTCTGCAAATCTTTGAAAAGGAAGGATAAAAATCATTAGAGAAACAGATTTCACCACTATAACTCGTGTATTACAATATTTCTCCACTCTCAACAGTTAAATTTTAATTATTTAAAAAGCTCGGCAAGCCTCGCGCTTTAAATATTAGAATTTAACTGTCTCGAGTGGAGACATATCGTAACACACTTGTTGCAGTGGTGGAACCTATATATAACAGTTTCTTTAAAATTATTTCAGATGAATGGTATCAACACTCTTGGTGAGAATATTGCTGATAATGGTGGCATAAAACAAAGCTTCCGAGTAAGAAATATAAAAAAAACTAACCTTCCGTGTAAAACAGATTAAAACAAAGCTTTCGTACACGTGTGTAAGACTGATTAAATAAGACAATCTCAGGCTCCGACCATTCACCTTTTGTTTTCACGTTTTATGTTGAAAATTAGAAGAGATGGAAAAATAAATTTAACGTTGAGTTTTAAAAAAAAAAATGCTTCTATATATTATTTAAAAAGTTTTTTTCTTTATTACAGATGAAAAAAAATGTCCGTTCCGAGGGAAAATCGATAAGTCACCACACGGCCTTCAATAATGAGAAAACCCATATCGTAAAATGAGCTATAAAAGGACACACCAGGACCAATTTGGTACTTTTAACGTTTTTAGTATTGCAGAGTTATTCAGTTGTTGATCAATCAAATACGTTTGTGTTGGGGTTGCATAAACGCACATGGAAAAGGGAGAGAAACTACAGTTTATTTATCAGTTCTAAAAAATGATTGTTTGCTCATTATACATAGTTTGATTTCGGATGCTCATTTGTAGTCTTTTTATAGCATCTATACATTCAAAATGTTTACGATGCTAAAGTCAGACAAGCTTTTTAAAAAGCTCAAACTTAGTATGCTCTTTGATTGGGGATCAATTTGGAAGCAATGTGTATTCATATGATATCATTGTTCTTAAACGCAGTGTAAATATACCGTTTAAAGTTAATCACCAGATTGAATTCGTCGAACAAACGATCTTTTTCGCCTGTTGTTATTGCCTGTAATTGATGGATAAATTTTTCATAGAGCAACAACAATAATTGAGTTCTATCGACAACCGCTGCAACGACAGTTACTGCTAAACAGTTGAGGAAAAATCGCTGTTTCAGAATGTAATGCATTCTGGGTAATTGTTTCGGTGCGTACAACATAACGATGTGAGTCTCAGATTAAAAAAAAAACTTAAACAATGGAAATTCAACCAATGGCGTGACGTTATATTTTAGTCCTTTAAATTCTGGAATTTTTGATAAGTACGACGTTCTTTCACCAGAAGAGGAATTTTCAATATAAATTAACTGCAGTTATTCGTTATTCCACGCAAGAGTGTATATTTTTTGCAAATCAATTTCAGGGATATCAAAAATGGCTAAAGCACAATGGTGGCGAAGAAAAGTTATTACCTGGAGTTAACCTGACCAATAATCAATTGTTCTTTATAGCATTTGCTCAGGTACGTTTAATAGGTAAATGCGAATGCACCAACCAATGAAAAAGCTGTAAAATCTCCGATTCGCCTTATTTCGTCGTGAATATGCATGAAATTTTTGCCTTAAGGAGACAAGCAATCCATATTTGATGGTATGAATGCCCTTTACCGTCAGACGTCAAACGGTCATTGTAGGCTACCGTTAGCGTCAAATTGTTTAAATTTTGTCGTGATTTGTCAAAATATCCTTATCGTGATTCGTCAGAGGCTTCAAATAATTATCCGTTACCGTTATTTTTGGAAAGAATTTAACGTGATTCGTCAAAATCAGTCGATTTTTTTATCGTGAAAAAAGTGTACATTTATCGTCATGCACCTCAAATTCCCGTAAACGTTATTTGGAAAGATTTTTTACAGTTATTCGTCATGAAGGTACCCCATTTCGACCCTCATTTTCGTTATACTATAACTGACCTCTATTTCGTGCGGCTGACCTAAAAAAAAAGTTGGAGTTTGACAAATTGTCTATTGTTGAAGATCGTGACTGTGTTGAATACTGAATTTGTTCGTTGTTTTGCTGTCTCATTGGTGAAATTAATATTTAATTTCAGTTGAATAAAAAAATTCCAAGAAATAGACGCATCAATCGTAGAATCTAAATAAATAAACATTTAGAATATGAATAATATAAAAAATGTACATATAATTGCAGATTAGATGCACAAATATGAGAAAGAAAGATGCCATCGGCAGTATCTTGACTGCTGTCCATAGTCCAGCAAGGTTTAGGTAAGTATAAAACAGATAAGCTTGATATTGATTGAATTTTATGCTGGAAGTCTTTAGGATCAAGGTCTTACTATACAGGTATATTTATATTTTACTTCAGGGGCGGATCCAGCCATTTATAAAAGGGGGGGGTTCCTAACCCAGGATAAAGGGGGAAGGGGGGTTCCAACTATATGTCCCCATTCAAATGCATTGATCGTCAAAAAAGGGGGCTTCAAGCACCGGACCCCCCACCTGGATCCGCCACTGTACATTATTGATGATACATGAAACAAGTAACTCTCTTTTAATTTGGCTTTTCCCTTTCAATTAGAATATGCCCTGATGTTACATTATTCTGTTATTTCCTATTCTTAAATATTTATGTTTATTTTAGGGTTATTGGCACTTTGCAAAATTACGAAGAATTTGCAAGAGTTTACAATTGTCCTGTCGGCAGTTTTATGAATCCTCTAAAGAAGTGTTCCGTTTGGTGAGGATTTTGTGAACAAGGGCTGCAACAAAGCCTTATGGATACAAATGTCAATCTTCGAAACAGAGACTATATTGTTTACATTTATCCAATATGATACTGGTTCTGTCTTAAGCTTGTTCTTACAATCGGACATGCATCAATTCAAAAGACCAGGCAGTGACCTATGGCATTATCGTGTTTGTTTTCTACTGAGAAAGTCATGTGCACTTATTTTCTGAAATGTACAAAAAACAATGTATTTTCATATCAAGAATTAACGTACCAAAATTCACAAAATGACCTGATAAAAACTTTACTATAATCATTGATTAGACCCGATTTTTTATAAAATTTAATAAAACCTTTTCCTAAATATTTTGGAAAAACTCGATTCCAGCAAACAAATTTTTCGAACTAGTATCGCCATTCAAATTATCATGTATACATGCATGATATGTTACATGTAACATCAAGCACATGATATCAGCGCTACAAAGCTTCAATACACTGTTATTGCTATGCATACCAAGAATTTGATGTCTCACATGGAATGAGTTGACCTTCTGTTTCAAAGATTGTATGGACATGTGATAATGTGGATAACAGGTTAATTACCAGATGAAGATGTAAATTAACTATTGGAATATCAAAATACAAACATAATACGTCATTTTATATACTAGCATAAACTAGTGGGTTTCTTTTCATCATTTAAATTGAAATCATCATTATTCATGTATGTCTATGCTTTGTAGTGTCAAACGAGCACTTGAAGTTGCAGATTGAACACACCGAGAAATAATACGCTGAACACGCCTGTATTAAATTATATATGCAAATAACGGTTTCAATATTCAGGGACGGAGCCAGGATTTTTCAATAGGGGTCGTTATTCTAGAAAACGGAATACATATGGCAAGAAAATCGTGAACGATTTTATGCTAAAGAAAATCGAATAAATCGTGAAAAACGAGATATTTTTTGCAATCAAAACGGGGGGCTACGCACTCAACATCCTCCTCCTGGATCCGCCACTGGTATTGTTAGACAGACTTGTTCAACATTTTGTGGATTTCAGTGGTACGAACTGCCATTATATAATTAAGGAATTCTAGAAAATTACACATTCTTGAAACTTGTTCAATAAATAACATATTCTTCAAAGTGTTTATAATATGATTCAGTTGCCCTGAAATACATGTAGTCCCATAAAATAATTCTCGTAAGAAAACATACAAAATCTTTTCATCTTGATGATAAAGTATCAAACATGGTGGAAATATTTGTTATACCATCCCATAGTTAGTAAGCTGAAAACGGTCACTATAATGCAACAATGGTTCTCATTTGACCGTCTAGGAATAACATCTTTGTCTGTTTTCTGAAAGGAATTGGATTAAAATAAAATTTTGTCTTTCATAACGTATAGAAAGTTTTTGTTATCAAAATAAAAAATACAATAGCGATCGCAGACTTTTTTGGGATCCTGGTGGTAATTATTCATGCTATTTTTTCTCCGTTGAAGCTACAATGCCAGTTTTGTGCATTGAATATTGAGATTCTAGAGCTAAGAAACAGAGACTGGAAGTATAAAAGGGACATTCAAACCCATAAGTCGAAGACAAACTAACAACGCCATGGCCAAATATGAAGGATCATCAAAAGTCGCTCTTATCCGTGGCCGCACTAAAATTTTGTCACATATTATGTTAATTTAATTCGCAAATCAATCACTTTTTAATATTTTTTTCTAAAACTACATGACAAAACTGTACCAAAATAGACAGAAATAGTCCATGGAACCCTTTCGTAATTTTTTGAAGAACTTAATCATATTATACATGTAATTATACTAACACCATAATCGCTAATAACCCGAATAATTCAGCCCCTCTCCATAATCGAGCTCTCCTGCTGTAGCCATCGTAGATCAACGGAATACAACCATTGGATTATTCGGATTTGATCGCTAGGGGCATATTAAATTCTCGATTCTGTTTGTCAATTTTCTTATATCTATACTCTTCTAAAATAACGAGGTCCAATGATTTTAGCCGGCATGACGTAAAAACGACGAATCAAAGAATTCAACTGTATATATAACTAATATAGGACAATGGTGTTGTTTAAAAATTACACTATTCCAGGCCCTTTTGTTTTCCACATAATTAATATTTCCAATATTTAACAAGTTCCGGGCCGAATCCGATAGCGATACCAATTGTATATGTCACATGTAGTTTCCGGTTGTTACCGCACAAGGATAATAGTTACGCCGAAAGGGGCCGTTGTTTCCTGTTACTTTCTGTAAGTTCCTCCTCTATCAGGAGAGCCTGGAATTCTTCCATTAGTTTTTTTTTATATTCATGTTACACTATAGTACACTATTTAACAAGTCTGTTTTCTTCCACCTCAATACCATTATTAATTTTGGTTAATTTGTTAAAAATTAAAACAGAAAGATTTTGAAAGCAGAGAAAACTGTGCACCTTACAATGAGCATGACTATCAGAAGACAATACGAATAATAACATCCAGGCTAAAAATAAGGCATAGGTACTTTAATTCAGTCGCGGGTGTGTTCTAGTATTCTCTAAAACTCTTTTTTCACTGTCAGAAATAATGTACTGTATGAAGGTTTTTTTATAGATAATTCCTCTTTTATTCCAGTAATCTGAAAAAAACAGGACACACCTATCATAACCAGAAATTATTTTTAATTCAGATCGATTATAATAGCTTTTTTCCAACTCTGTAATTGACCCTGTAATAAGAGATTCGTTTGTACGAGTTGTTTCCCTTTAGAGGGACATACATTTCATCGACGACGAAGAGCTAGGTTTTTTGAAAATGTTTTTCAATAATTTTTAAGCTCAGACAATTTGATATCAATAGTTATTTGTTTGCTTAAAAAAATAGTTAAAACGACTTTGGATTAATTTTAACTTATCATGCTTTGACTGGGCAGCAGCCCATTTTGTCTGGGTAAGAACCAGTCTACAATTAGCAAAGGGAAACAACTTGTGTTAAGAATGACTGTATGTAATAACATAATCAAATTGGTAATCAGCATTTACACTTTTGCAACGAAAATTTACAGAAAACTCTTATAAAGAGCCTCTAAACGCTGTTCAACTTCAATAAGGACAGTGGATTAACGCGCTTTAATCAGTCGCAGAGTTGTAATTTTGAACAGGCGAGTAATGTCTTCTCTTCAGAGAGTCTAGTATTATTTTTTGTGGGTTTTAAATTGATTGGACAAATAAATGATGGTGTAAAGCGATTTTGAAATCAACAATATACACGAGCCAAGGAGGTAAATTGAGTTAACAATATAACTCAATACTTTCACAATGACCCTACAATTCAATGAATGAACATTTTTTAATGTTGATTTTATTGGCATTCTAACAGAGCAGCGTTCTAGCCTACACAGAGGTACATAATTTGTACAATCGAAAAAGTTCACGAAGTCATTCATGTTGCTGGTTGGCTAGATGCAAATGAAAATCATTCTTATTCAGGCATAGTTTGTTACACACATTACACTGCCACGGATTGGACTGTCCGTGAAGCGAAGTATGGAGTATGTATAATCCACGATCTTCAAACATAATGCAACAGTGGTGACAACGAAATATTTTCCCCTGTGCTTCTAGATATGACATTATTTCCCTTACAGAAGGAATATCTGACCTTTCAGACGTGAACTGTGAACTGAAATCACGTGTATGCCTCGGTGGATCGACGTTGATGGAAAGACGCGGAATGGTTCGTGCGTTCAGTTCTTCAGATGATCGAATACACGTGTGGATCCTTGCCAATACTTCTGCCAAGCCACTTGTTGAATCAGCAATTCCTCCTTCCCTGGATTGAGATGAATATGACCGCGGAGTGGACACCCTGTCATCACTAACAGAATGAACATCGGAAAAGTTCATAACGGGGTTATCTTGTCGAACGCTTTCAATAGCACTGGTGCTCTCGGCATTCTGTAAATACATGTCAATCTTTGGCGACATCGGCTCTGCTTTAATTATTACATTCTCAGCATTGCTTTGGCTAACTACAGAGAAGGACGCGTTATTAGTGATTACATCGTCTGCTATCGGATGCTGAAAATCTTGCTTGAAAGTCGGTAACGAATCTCGGTCAAAGGCGTGTTGCCTAGAACTCGACCTACGACGTACTTGCTTTCTGTCATAATTACCGGGACTGCTAACAAATGTTTTTTGTTTATTCAATTCAGTCGAGTGGCTTGTGTGAATATGCTCATTCAACGTAATTTGGTTTGAAGTTGAAAATGAACACAAGTTGCAAGATAGCACAGTTCCTTGGTGCCCTTTTAGGTGTCTTTGTAATGCATCTTCGCTTTGGAAACGTTGTGGGCATACGGTACAAGATAGAGGCCGCTTATGTACAGTTCTGTGCTGCACGAGATTAGAGCGTGCAGCAAATCTCTTATCGCACAGACTGCATTTATACGGTTTAATACCGAAATGAATGTTTTGATGCTCCAACAGAATATTTTTGTATCCGAATCTACGATTACATATTTCACATTCGTACTTTCTCTCTTTTGCGTGTGTTAGTTTTTGATGACGTAGAAGGCCATTTTTGTAATTGAACTCTTTACCGCACTGTTTGCAGGTTAATTCCTCGGGTTCCATAACAAATAACTACTTCTGTAAAATAAAAAAAAACATTTAATACGTACCATACTAAAGATATAAATAAGTTCTTAAAAATGTTCCCTTTCTGTATCCAAAAATTACTAAAAGTGGGAAGGATAGACAGAATATACATCACGTTTCAAATATCACTGAAAAAACTTTTTATGTGACTCTAATAACAGTCATGACAGTACCTATGTCAATCAACAGTCATGACTTTACCTATGTCAATCAACAGTCATGACAGTACCTATGTCAATCAACAGTCATGACAGTACCTATGTCAATCAACAGTCATGACAGTATCTATGTCAATCAACAGTCATGACAGTACCTATGTCAATCAACAGTCATGACAGTATCTATGTCAATCAACAGTCATGACAGTACCTATGTCAATCAACAGTCATGACAGTATCTATGTCAATCAACAGTCATGACAGTACCTATGTCAAATAACAGTCATGACAGTATCTATGTCAATCAACAGTCATGACAGTACCTATGTCAATCAATTAGAGACAACAAACTGACTCTAACATGTCGAATAACAGTATCAATGCCAATCAATAAAGGACATCAAACTGACTAACAATACTGACTGTACCGATGTCAACCAATTACGGACCGGTGACGTGCCGACTCTAATGACAGTGCCTATGTCAACCAATTACGGACCACATGCCGACTCCAATGACAGTATCTTTGTCAATCAATTACGGCCAATAAAACTTAAACCTACTCGATAACAACACCAATGTCAATCACTAAAGGACAAGAGGCTGACTCTAATGACAGTACCTATATTAAATTCAGGAGATGTGGTATAATTGCCAATGAGACAACATCCACCAAAGTTTAAATGAAGTGGATGTAAGCAATTATAGGCAACTGTACGGCATTCAACAATGAGAAAACCCATACCGTATAGTCGGCTATAAAAGGCCCCGACATTAAAAGTATGAAACAACTTAAATGAGAAACTACGGTATAAAATGACAATAATAAATTACGGACAACAAGCTGACATACTATATAAACCACCAACAACCGAATCTACCGAGAAAGTAACAGACACAAAAACAACAACAAACAACACACGGTCCAGGCACAATATTCGGAGAGTTTGGGTCAATGCGCAATTTTTCGTTCGACGGAACAAATCTCTCCCTTTTATTTACATTGTAACTATCAAGACCGTACATGTTCGTCTAAAAGGGGAACCCAACACTTTTGACTAAAATATATTTGGATCTTTAAATTTTCATAAAACTTTGACAAAGTACTTACTATGAACTGTTGACAAAAATATAAAATTTATACCGCACAATTTACAGGAATAATTTCATTGGATATATAGCAGTTTGACAATACTAGTTTGGATCATAGAGAAGCTTGATTTCTCTAACCTAATAGTATGTAATTAAAACGTTCAAATAATTTTTAAAGAGTTAACTCCCTGCTCAAAATTAAATCACAAAATGAAAAACT